TCAGTAAGCGACAGGTGCTTGGAAACGCTGTATTCATTTATTGAGGAGTCGGCTGCGGTGCTTCTCTGCCGCTCGCTGCACAGAACAGATGCCGAGAGAGGCGACACTTCTCCGGGAAAGCCAGACCTCGCGCTCGCGGGACAGCACTGGAGAAATCCTCCAGCTGAACCATAGCTGAGCTTTATCCAGAAAAGACTCTAGGTTTGTCAGCATGAATATTCTCTGGAAGAAAGCCGCTAAAAGGGTCTGAAAGTTGCTAAATCTAGTGCTAAAGTCTCGCTGGTGTGTGTGAGACGCGGGAGCTGATGGCAGCGGGCACTGGATATTTGTGGCGGTCAGTGTGGATATTGTGGATGAGTTCTTCTGTGTCATCACGTTCTATTAGTTCTACAGCTTCAGTTTCTGAGCTTTCACGCTTAGTAACACACATCTGTACACCCTCACCACAGTGCAACAGTGAAAAGAGACCCTTTACAAAGTGTCGCGTTCCACCAACGTTGTTTAAGAGACATACACCGGTATTGCAGTATTTTCAAAATTCATATCATAACAAAAATAAACACCGGTTTTCGGTATGAACCGGTATACCGCCCAGCACTACGTTAAGCTAACTGAGGCTTGTTATAGCACTTGCTCTTTTGTTGGTTTTGATTGCTTCTATTGTCCTCATTTGTAAGTCGCTTTGGATAAAAAAAAAGCGTCTGCTAAATGACTAAATGTAAATGTAAGACACACAATTTTGTAATAACAAGCACCAATTAATATTGCACAATAAGCCCCAAAAAATATTTTGCGTTAAAAATCCTCAATATGGACTGAATCTCGATTATATACATATGAGAAGAAAAAAAAAACCTTACCACATTTTTGGGGTCTGCACTGAGTCCTCCACCTGCGTGGCCGTGCCAGCACTGTCTCTCTGGAATCTGCAAATACTAAAACACACCGACTCTTTAACACTTCTGACAGCAGACTGCATTTCACTCATTGTGCTAAAGCATGAATCAATGTCATAAAAAAAAGTCTTATTTTCCACATACTTTTCCTGCTTCTAAGATCTGTGGGCTGTTCTGAGCTCTGCTGTTCGACCACGTTGATGACGCTCGGCTTTCACTTGACAGCTGAAAGAAAGTCAAGAAATACAAGGGAAGAAATGTTAAATAGAATATGGAATGTATATTAGTCTTCTCAGTGGATTACTTTAGAATTATGTATATACACTAACGTTCAAAAGTTTGGGATCAGAACGATTTTTTATGTTTTTACAGGAGTTAAAAAAATGTATTTGATCAAAAATACAGGAAAAAATGTAATATTGTGAAATATTATTACAATGTAAAATAATGTTTTCCTATTTTAATATGCTGCTAAATGACTAAATGTAAATGTAATATACATTAAAATCTAATGTATTCCTGTGATGCGCAGCTGTATTTCCAGCATCATTCCTCCAGTCTTCAGAGTCACACGATCTTCAGAAATCAGTATAATATGCTGATTTATTATCAGAGCTGGAAACTGTTGCTGCTTCATATTGTTTTGGAACCCGTGATACGTTTTTCAGGATTCTTTGATGAATAAAAAGTTAAAAAGAAGAGCATTTCTTACATTTTTATTTGTTCTTTTTTTGAAGGAAATTAAAACTTGTATTCAGCGAGGATGTGTTCAATTAAGAAGTGATAGCAAAGATTTATATTGTTAGAAAAGATTTATATTTTGTATAAATGGTGTTATTTTTAACTTTTTATTCATCAAAGATTCCTGAAAAAAGTATCGCAGTTTCCAAACAAATATTGTGCAGCACAGCTGTTGATAATTCTGATAATAAATCAGCATATTAGAATGATTTCTGAAGATCATGTGAC